TTTTTAAGTGAAATGTCAATCTATAAAGTACTCTGTCCTCTTTACAGCTATATATTTACCAAACATATCTATATACGTATAAATAAAAATAGACCAGAGGTTGAACGGATGCACGTTTTGTACATTTTTGCTCTTCGCTGCCCTTCAGGCAGACAAAAGTTTACGCTTGTTAGCCTTCTTACAAAACACTCTGAGGTCAGCGGCGGATCAAATTAAACAAGTCTAATTTTCGTGGCAGGTGTGGGACGGTCAATTATCACACTCTTTTAAATTTATAGTAATAAAAAGCTTTCCGGGGTGACAAATGACCGCCCACATCTTCCCTTGTGTCATGGTGTAGGATTCTAGGGGGATAGGGTTGTCATGAGTTTCAACATCAAGAAGCGCAACTTTCTTCTGGCCAGTGTAGTAGTAACAAGAAGCTATTAGAATTAAAATATAATTGCTTCTTGTTACTACTAGTAAGGCACCTGTTACTACTAGCGTGGCACTTGTTTCTACTAGCTTCTTGTTACTACAAGGAAACATTTCGACGGTCGACCGAAAGTCTGGGACCGCACCATGAGGCGTGGGACCCTGTGGTCGTCCACACCCACCAGCCAGTCGCCGGACTCTACACGAGGACACCGACTGCAGGGCACTTTGACTCTTGAAGCAGTAATTACATGTCAAGCAAACCACAAATTGTCATGTATGTTGCTGGTGTATTTTGTGGACACAGTGATTTACTTAAACTAAATTTGACGCTTAAAGCACACAGAAGGTTGCTGCTGTAGCTGAATTCTGGCAAAAGAACGGCATTTGGAGCCCAAGGGGCCTTTCTGCAAAGCTGAGAGGCACAACTCCTTCTACATCGACCTCCAAGGTATCACCAGCAATAAAACTAGCAAAAGGATAGACTTTACAAATTTCACGACTTGCAATTCTTGCACCTCCACGACTTGCAACTCTTCGCCTGGCCGTGAGACTCAGTTTCTGCTCTCTCGACAAAGAGCAACAGCCTTCACACTTCTCTCTAAGCAAAATGACAGCCTTCTTGCTTGACTTGAAGACCAATCGGCCTGTGGCAAGGGCTCAAACGACACATGAGACACCATGACATGAAAAAGACCTCTCATCATCTTTCCGGACTTTCAAGGAAAACCTTAGCACCGATTCCAAGCAGCTAGCTCGATGAAGTGAATCCATATGAATCAATCTATAGAATTACGTAGATTGATTATGGTTGATTAAACTGTTATGTTTAATTATTACAAAAACATCTCTGATGCTTCGGGAAGGAGCTCTTGGGAAAATGACGGAACTGTGCTGGAAATCGGAATACCTTGCGGTACAGGCTCGCGGATGATCGGCGCGATGGTGGCGTTTTGAAAGGTAGCACGATGAAGACGTGCTGTACTGCATGCTCATTTGAAGCACTTCTGGTGGAACCGCGTCGTGACGTCTGTGCAAAGTGCAAATGGCAGATCATACCGTGCAGGAGTTATGGGAATGTGCTGGAAGTCGTTATGGGATGCGGTCAGGAGATGATCGGCAAGCGGAGCAGCAGCAGGTGTTGGGCGGGTGATGCCGGAAATACCTTGCGGCATGGGCGGCGGTCAAGGGATGATCGGCCAAATGTCTTGCGCAAGGTCGAAAACCACCTATGTAACCAACCCAAGCTTTTGAGGGCAGTGTCCTTGCACCGATGCAAGCTACATGACCATTCGACAGCAGTGACGAAGAAAACAGCAGTCAGCCAGCAGCGGCTTGTGCATCCGCAAATGCAACCGTGAGACAGATGGTCTCTTTGCTTGCCCCGGCATAAATGGATAAACGGTTACAGTAAATCTAAATGTGATACCTTTCCAGGGCAGAACGCAGCACGTAATTGCGCTAGGGTGCATCATGTGCGTCAGCTCTCCTGGCAGTTTGTAGGGGGGGCTAAGGAATCTCCAGCCACCCATGCTCTCTGCACAAAACTTTGCCACATAGCTGTGCGCAGCGGCCGACTGTATTAGCACCTATTTGTAGGTCAATGAGGCAGCCGTTGAGTGCCAATGCTCCGTTGATAGACAACCACACAGCCCGAAAGAGTTCAAGGCTAAACGGAGGGTGTGTGGAGAAAGGGGTCAGCAAAAATCGCTTATACGAAGTTAGTGCATCAAAAATACCTTCCACGAAGTTCTGCGAAGGTTTCTGGGATTTCGTTGCAGTCAGTTCTCCTATACTGGCCCACCATTCCACGAACTGTCCACGAACAGCCTTGGGTTCTACGAAGGTCACGCGCCTTCCACGACGTTAGTAGAATAGGTTTTTGCAAAACCCTTTCTGTGCACTACCCTTCCGTTTGCTTTTGAAACTTCAGGCGACCCATCATGAGCAAGTGGCATGAAGCAACTTGGGCCGTTTGCAAGATTCAGATCAAGTGCACCGTCGGGCGACTTCTACATGTTTGAGGGAGTGTGTGCCCGCAAAGGACACGAGACACTACAGTACACACTGGACCCTCAACTTGTGAATCATTATTGAACATTTAAATTTCTGGCTGCGAGATCCTTCTTTTCCTCACTGAAAGATTCAATTCTCTTCAAATTAATTACTTGGTATCTTCTGAGTGCTTTCTGCTTCCTGGCTTGGACGTTTTGCTTCGTACTGTACTCCCGCATTGGCGCCAACACGTAGATTTCACCAACTGCTCAGCAAAAGGCAGCGTGCTCCAGTTTTGCTTTTGGGTTCTCGCACTCACCTTGTGTCTTGACTTGCGTCATAGGTTTTGCACCAAATTTTGGAGGTCACTTGCAACAGCGGTAGTCAGTTCCGACCTTTCTACCTCTCAGTAGAGGTGGATTATTGCGAATGCATGGTTTGCTTCTCAAGTGTGGCTGATGGCAAGGTGTTCCATGCAAAGTCATTAATTCACGCAAAGAGCAACATCTCATTTGCCCCAAGCTTTGTCCTTGACTCTACTTTGACTGTATCGGAGATTAATCCCAGCAGCTTCGTGGATGACCAAACACCTGTGAAGTATTTGAGTCATGAGATGTGAGAGTGCGAACTAGGGGAGTTGGATGGCATGAAGAATTTTGGCAAAGCACAGTGACATCGGAAAGGCCACATTGCCTCCCTCGTTCTTTCACAACACGACCCTATTGAGCCAGACACTCACAACGTAGGCTTCGCAAGCGGTCTCGCAACTGCTCCTGGATGAGCTTGTCAGATTGTTGTAGTTGTACAATGTACAGTAATTAGTGGCAGTGATCAATTCAGATTCATATTGGTGTCCAATCCACTTGTTGTTCCTCGAATGGTCTGGGCCACAAGAAGTTCGGTACCTGAGAGCAGTCTGTATTAGCTTTGTTGGGTGTGGATTGCTTGGGCTTGAACCCATGGGCGAAATGTCCGCACTACCCACGGCTGAAGGTCCTGACAGCTGTGAGGCAGTGAGTTTCAGCCGTTGCAAAGTGGAAAGAGCTTGTCGCTATTTGTTGCTCCTGAGGTACACTGATTCTGATTGGCCGCGCAGCACAGCTTGCCGAAGTGCCCTCTTTTTCTGCCTCGTCAAAAACGCTTTACACTAGCAATTTGTCCCTTTGCTTGGCCAAAGCACGTGTCATAATGTAAGAAATTTGGAGCCAGCATTTCTTTCATCATGGCATAGGCCCCTTGCCAAACAAAGTTGAACATTTGCAGTTTATGATATGTTTGCTTCCAAAAAAAATGACTTCACTTCGACATCTCACAAGCGCGTCACGTGCAAATGTGCTGCTGGGGTGAACCTCGGAAATTGAAGCGCACACACGTCATAGAAGGGCATTTATATAAGTTATCAAAGAGCCGCATCCTTGGTCACTTGGCTCTCCGACGAAATGCACACCTGCTGCTTCGAGAGTTCGCGGGCAAACCTCAGACGCTTCTGGGGGCAGAAACAGTGATGCGAGCAAAAGCATCACTAACAATAAAATGAAATAAACAAGTAGATCAGTAGATCTTTAAAAAATCCCAGCAAGAGACCCCCAGCAAGAGAACAGTGTCTTGCCTTTGAGGTCTAGAGGTGTAGAAGCAAAAGGTCTAGGGATCTAGACCGATTGACTTAGAGATCTAGGACCAGAGCTCCAGAAGTGTAGAGGTCTTGAGATCCAGATCCAAAGAGATCTAGAGGTCTAGACAGATCTAAATGCTTCGAGATCCACTCTAGAGATCTCGAGGTCTGGAGGTCAGACAGATCAAGACATCGGGAGATTGAGATGCAAAGAGGCCTCGGGATCCAGAGGTATCAAGAGCTCTAGGTCTAGACGCCCTAAAACCTACAGGTCTCAAGCTCTAGATCTAGAGTTTGAGAGGTCTAGAGATGTAGAGGTCTCGAGATCCAGAGAGGTCTTCAGATTCAAAGGCCTAGCAGTAGAGGTCTCTAGGTCCACAGGTAGGGGTGACGTGCAGGTCTTGAGATCCCGAGATATCAAGAACTCTAGACTTCAAGAGTTCTAGGATTCAAAGATCGAGTGGTCTAGAGGTCTATACTTCTAGAAGTCTGTATTCTCTCTCGACCTAAAAGTCTAGAGAGATCCAAAGGTCTGGAAGTTTATAGCACACATATGCACGTAGGGAGCACACATAAAAGTTTGCTGCGCTTGCCACCACTTTGAGACTCACAAAATATTGCCCCTTGTCACGAAATCTACACTTCCAGTGGTCCAGGTTCACAATACATTGCGCCTGCCACAAAAAGCTGCGCCTGTCACAAAATGTTTACCTGAAGATTCACATCGCGCAGCCTGCCAAGGCGTTTCCTTAACTATTCCCGTAAGAACCCCTACGTAGTGTGGAAACACTGTTTGGGGAAAAAAATCTGAATCAGGAGAAACATCTATATAATATGTATATATATACATAAAGGGAAAGTAAGAAGCGCTTCAAACATGTTGCCCTTTCATAAAGAACTGATAAAAGTTTCTGCTGAAGCAGCTCAGCGAGTGACGCGTCCTTCTGTCGGCAGCCGTTCACGGCTGTCACGACACAACCCGGCAGCAGTCGCTTGCTCGGCTGTTGCCTTGCTGAAGATGTGCTTTGGCCCTTCGTCGCTGAGGCTAAGCAAAGCTACAAGGAGCGACTGAGGTTCCCACTGAGAGTTCCATCTGTCCACGAGGAGATCTTTTACCACCTTGGTTGAAAGCAATTCGGTCTGACAGCCTTGCATCAAGTTCCCGCCTCCTTCACTACGATTGAGCTCAAATTTCCGGGCTGAACAAGCAAGCCATGCCTAAGCGAAGTTTCCCTAACAGTCTAGCAACCAAATCCAACATAATAACCTTATGCGTCCCCACTATATAATACGTTATATATAGTTTTTTTCTTGCCTTGTTGTCTTTGTTATGGGTGTAGCTGCATTCCTGCCAGTACTTCCCCTCCCTCTTCGCGGCCTCCCCACCCATTTGTTGTGCTTAAAACCGGGGGGAGGCCGTAGCTAGTAGCTTACACGTAGCTAACAAGTAACGGGTAACTATCAATTATCAATAGCTTAAGAAACTAAAACAACAACAACTACTACTACTACTACTACTCCTCTTCCTCCTCCGACGACGGCGACGACGACTACTACTACTGCTACTGCTACTGCTGCTACTACTACTGCTACTGCTACTGCTGCTACTACTACTGCTACTGCTGCTACTACTACTACCACCACTACTACTACCTACTACATACTACATACTCTTATCTACTACTACTACTACTACTACTACTACTACTACTACTACTACTACTACTACTACTACTACTACTACTACTACTACAGTACTTCTTCTACTACTACTACTACGACTACTACCGATCGGACGCAGGCTGGGGTTCAGGCTTCTTCAAGGAAGCTCCCCAGCTTCCTTTTGAGGGTGGGGTTGCTTGGTTGATAATGCGTTGGTTCATGGCACGTTCATGGTTCCTACCACCACCCGGCGTGGTATCTTACCCCATCGCACATGAACTTGACCCACCCCCATGGCACACCGCTTACCCCGCGAAAGTAAGAACTTACCCAATTTGGAAAACACAATGGCACACCGCATCGAAACAAGCACTTTTTCTTGGTCCTAGATTGTTTCTAAACCTTGGAACTCTTCGAGTTCTGACAGGCCCTCCTCGAAATTCAATGTGATCAGCCAAAAAGAAACAGACTTTACCAAATCAAAGTCCATCCCTAGTCCAGTAAAACTGCAAGTAGACACCCGTGTGATCAGCCGGAAATACAAACAAACTTTACCAAACCAAAGTCCATCCCTAGTGTGCCCTTGCGGTTTGGTCGAATTCTCAACCTATGATCAACGGCAACATACATACAAAGCTTCCCCCAAGGGCACACCTCATCTGGCACAAGTTCATGCCACTCGAGACAAGTTAACCCGAGCACCCAGTAGTAGATTTGGGGGGAAACTGGAAGTCTATGACCTACAGCCTCACTAGTACCGTTGCGTATCTGAGGTCCTCGCACCGGAGGTGAGTCAACACACAGCCTCAGACATATTAGCACACAGTGTACAGCTGCAACTGCAATAGAAATTGATCCGAATTGAGTGTCATGGCCCAATGCGAATTCCAAGCTTCTCCCCCTCGCCCTTGAAGATCGGACCGCACACAACCTAAGGCACTCTGATGCCCGAATGGTTTTGCAATGTTTTGCCATGATAGCTGCAGTTGCTGTGATGGGCACTTCTTGCGAAGCTTGGGCAGTTGGAGGAGGCATAAGGATGCCTCTAGCCACCAAAAGACCTGTGGTGAGTAGTGAAAATATGAAAAGCGCCAAAGAGTGCAGAACGACGCAGTCACCACGCACTCTGTAATGCTCTCTTCTGAACACATGAATGAGAGGGGATTACAGAAACTGAGTTCTGATCAAATGGAATGTGAATCTGCGAAAGCGGCCAGCATATCCTTTGAGCCTCAGGAATGGCCGCCATGGCCCCGTGTGTGAACTAAAGTCCCAAGTCCGAAGAGTTCCTCTGCTGAGCCCCTGGCCAACACTTTGGTCGACTGCCAACAAACGATCCCCTACACGAATGGCCAAGTCTGGATTGGCCTGCCATGGGTGCAGCCTTTCGAACGTCAATGTTTCAAGGTTCAACAATAGGAGCCTCATTCCAGTGAGCAATTCCACCTTCTTCCACGATTTCGGTGACCTTCATACCAGCGTGCCCATTCCACCAAAACTTTAGACCTGACAAACTGGCCTCCAAGCTGTTGCTGCTATCCCTCGCATTTCGCAGGTTTAACCCCCACCTCCAATGCAGGTCACTGTAGTTGCTACGTTACATGTTTTGAGATGTGCATGTCAAACATCATTAGCCATTTCTGTTCGGACATGTGGAGTGACAAACTATCACAACATGAGCCTCTCAGAGTTCAGCTTTGTCACACGTCTTTCGCAAATCCACGGCCACACCAAGGCCTCACAACGGCTTTGGCATAGGCTTGCTCTGACAAATGTCAAATGTCAGAAGGTCTTCTTGCAGTCTCATGGTGCACCAGGAGCTTTGATCCCTTTTCTGTCTTCTTTCGTTTCTCCAGTAAGTATGTGTGTGAGTCTCAGACATTCTCCCAAGACCTTCGAACCTGCAAGGTCAGCGATTCCTGCCACCCGTGTCCGGTGACACGTTTTGACTTGCAACAAAGTAAGCTGTGATGCAAGCGGAGCAGTCCGTTGATTTCAGTATTGTCAGCATCTCAGCTGCCTGACCTTTCGTTCCATTTGCCTCAAGTTGACTTCACTGAGAGCTCTGCCACTGAGGCCACACTTGAGAGCTTCGCTGACTCTAGCATGTCACCCTCCCAGAGAACTGGCCTTGGAGTTGCTCTGCGCGCCGTCTACACACAGCCCCGGTAGCTTGCATCCGCTTGGCACTTGACGCATTCCACCAAAGCATCCCTTTCCCAGCACTATGACAGCCTTCATCATGCACCTGAAGCAACTAACTCTCCATGCATTCTTCAAGAGTAATGGGAAATGGCCTTGCGGTTGTGCTCCGAGATAGAACCACCACTGATAGTAGAACGAACCCTCAACCTTGTGGGAGCTGACACGAGCACATCTGACCCCAAAAACAAATAAAGGCCCAAAACGCCGGCACTTCTGGCTTTTGTGCTACCTGGGATCCACACATGGTTCCGTTCCTCTCCATCTGCAGCTCGGCTCCCAAGCTATCTTGTGCCTGGAAAGGACGAAGGTTTCTCTGCGTCCATCTGATCAATTGCTTCATCTGCCTTGACCTGAAACTCTACGGCAAATTCCATCTTCTGTAGGCTCGTAGTGACCTGGTAAGCTGAAACTCAGCCATTTTTGCTTGGCATCAGTCCCTGAGTCCAAGATGATCCCGTTCATCGCGTTCAATTCAACATAACCATGTCGATGAATGCTCAGGCGATGCCTGCCCCAAGAAGCTTTGGGGATGAAGATTTGAGCGAGATGCCTCATACACTGTAGGATAAAACTGATAAAGTCAGAATGCTCTGAGCTGCAAACCATCTTGGAACAGAACCGTATTAGGATCAGCAAGGGCACAGCGACCTACAAGTCACGATTGAATGGAAACGTCCGAAACTTCCGTCACCTCTTGGGGCACTGACACAGGCTGATGCCAGAACTGAGCTGGTGAGCTTCACGAATTTCCTGAAATTGAAAAACTAGTGTTTTAGCCCGGGGGTAGGACGTGTAGAGGTAGGTAGTAGCTAGGTAGGTAGCTAGTAGAAGCTAACAGTAGCTAGTACCTTACTAGAATGCTACTACTGACTGGACGCAGCATAGCTCACGCTTCTTCAAGGAAGCTCCCCCCGAGCCATCTGGGTTCAGGCCCTTTGGCTTACGCCCCCTTCGGCGTGGGCCGGGGTGTTGCTGTCCGGCCGCTTGGTCGGAAGTGACACGTCTACAGACCGTTGGCTTCACCAAGCCACGGAACGCCATGGTGACGATGGACTCAGGGCATGAACATGGGAAGATTGCTGTTGAAAGTTTGTTGCAATGGGCTACCTTTGGCATGCCTTCCTCCCTGGCATCTACTGTCAGTGCTGCTTTGAGGGGCATTGCCTCGACCGGACAGTGCAGAAGCAATGATGAAGATTGGGTGCTGTTTGGAGAGGTGTGTGATGTTCAGCATGGACCGACCATGTGTGTCCATCTCCGTCGCACTTCGATGCTCATGGCCGATGAGGTGATTCAAGCAGGTTCTTGGGACTCCTTTGACATCCTATGTCCGGTGACCCATACAAGAGTTGACTTCTCGCCTGGTATGCTGGTGGGCGTCCTTGCTTCTCCTGCCAACCGCCTTAGTGACCACCGGATTTTGGCTGATGCGGCAGTTCCTGTCTGGAACGTATCCAGGCATGACCGAAGTTTGGCTTGGCAAGTTTCACACCTTTTTGCTGGTGCGTATGAAGGCTGGCTTCGAGCGATGTGGTGGCTTCAAAACACCAATATGGGATTCGTGTTTGCCTCTCATACCTCGGTCGACTGGTGTCCTGAAGTGATGAAGACATGGAGTTATAACCACCAGCAGGAGGTGCTTCGAGCTCCAGTGCCTGTCGACTACAATCCATTGTCCGCTTACAATGGTATTCTGGCGGATGTCAGCGATGTGACTTTGTTGAGGGCCACGGCTCACAAATCCAACTTGTTGATGACGTTGTCCCCGCCTTGTCCGAGCTGGAGCAGGGGAGGCAAACAATCAGGACTTGCTTCAGATGAGGGCTTCTGCTTTTTGGATTCTGTTGAGCACCTTTGCCGAGTCCGCCCTGTCCTTGCCATATTTGAGTGTTCTGACGGTATGGAGAATCATCCTCACTGGCGGGTGATTTCGGCCGCTATGCAATTGGCAGGCTTTCGACGTGTTTGGTCTCAGGACGTGGCAATCCACCAGATCACCAGCAACTATCGTACAAGGTGGTTGGCGGTCTGGTGTCGATGTGACGTTGAATCCAAGAAGATCGGTGAACGCCTCCAGCTCTCATCTCATCGGAGGTTGCCGTGGGATGACCCGAAGCACCTTTTTGAATTGCCTGCTTCGCTTACCGAGGCCCTTAAGTTGACTGCTGACCAGATGCAGATTTACGGGGACAGAAACCTGCTTCCACCAGGTAAGAAAGCTAGAATTGTTGAAGGGGCTCCCGCCCATCAGGTTTTGATGCAGAGGGTACTTCCAACCGGTGAGTACCTGCCTACCCTTTGTGCTTCGTACACGGCACAACACCTGTTGCAGTTCGAGCATGTTCAAGCTAAAGGGATTTTTGCCACTCTCACGAGCTGGCAGGACGATTTTAGTTTTGTTGACCCCTTTCTTTTTGCATCCTTGTTTGGCACGACCGCTACGCTTGCTCTGCCTGCTGACCTCCGAAAGGCTTTTCATCAGTTGGGGAACGCCATTTCTCAGCTTCATGCTTTGGCTGGTATTCTTGTGGCAATGGAAGGAGTCTCTGGAGAGGTTATTCCTAAGCTGGCTCTCATTCAGCAATGCTGGAACGATCGGCTCACAAATGAGAATGCCATGGTTCGCTGTTGCAATGGGATGTATGTTCTGCAACCACTCGCGGATATGGTGGCAAAGGCTATCCCCAGTGTTGCTACATGGCAACCTTGGCTGGTTGGGAGCACTTTGATCAGGTTTTGTGATGACATGACGCTTGTGCCGATTGATCAACCTGACGATGAAGCTGCCCTCCTGGCCTTGCTCAGAGCACTGGAACTTGATGGTCATCTCCTCTACTTGATCAAGCTGGTGCATGACGGATCGGTTGTCCCTACAGCATGTGTTTGTACTCAACTCCCTGCCGGCGCGTTGATGTTGAAGTGTGGTGCCTTCCAGATTGGATCGTTGCAGATCACCCATCTTGGCTCTGCTCCTGTGACTGATGATCCGATCCTCTCACCAACTCAACCTTGGTGTGAGCATGAACATGATCCTGAATTCGATGGTATTGTCGATGCAGCCAGGGCAGGGTTCCTTCATGTTGCTGAGTACGTTTGCCAGGATGAGATGCCTCGATCCAGTGCAAAGCTACTTTTCTTGCTACAGGACGGCACTTTTTACTGTATTCAGCAGGCAAATGTCGAGCGTCTTGGGAGTATTCCTGGATTTCGGTATCAAGATGGGTCGATGTATTTCATCAAAGCCAACTCGGAAGCGTGCAGAACCCTCATTGGGTTCCCAGTGGTGATGGGTATTCAAGGGGTTTACGAACCTGTCTGCCCTGCCAAGTGGGTGATCTTGCGTGGTGGTCGTGATGCCAAGTGGTTGAAAATCTGTCAAGTTCCGCGAACTGCGTCTCCTCGGCAGTGTGCATCACTCTTGCAGCAGCAATGCACTATCACTATCAGGAACTCAGTGCCCTGTTGCTTGGACCAACCTCTCATGCTCATCAATGGAGATGTCTTGTGGGGTGATGATCGACCAGGTGGTGCTACATCCGTTGTTCTTGGAGGTATGGATCATCTCACGACGAATCCTAGCTGCAATGTCCTAGAGGACCCAACCATGGCTAGGTTGCTGCAGCTCAACCTTGAGCCTGGAGCCCTGGCTATCGATGAAATGCTCTTTCATTGTGATATTTTGCAAGTTCTGATGCCTACAATTTGCTGGTGCCCACCTGCACTTTGGGTAAGCAATGAAGCTCAGTTCCGGTTTCCTGTTGAACCAGCGGATCTTCAGCTTTGCTTCCAACATTTTATGGTCCCAATTCTTGTGGTCTTTGATTGGATCTTTGTCGAAGCCCGTTTCTTTGAAGGCCAGTGGAGAATCTTGTACCATTCCTCTGAACAGTTGACTCAGCGGCAACGCACAGCAGTGTTGGAATTGATCAATGTCATGGGAATCCAAGTTCCCCCCAACAACTTCAGGTGGATCCGTACTGCTGAGGACTCAGAGCTTGCGCCGTGGTACACACTCAGGACCTTCTACGCCCGAGCAGGTGCGCCTTTGCTTCCTGCAACACATCGGACTACACAAAGATTGCAGAGGGCCCAATATTGTGAGCATGTTATGCAGGCCATTGACCAAGCTGACTTCATTTGGCGTGATACTCAAACAGATGACCGCATGTTGCAATTTGCTCGTGCCAGTCGTAATGCCTTTTTGGTTGCTATCCTGGAATCCCCCAGCAGGGCTGCTGACTTGACCCTTCGATCGACAGGGAGACCCATGCATGTTTACAACATCAATGAGATCTTCTTTGTTGCTGATGAATGGTTGGACATGCGGGCCAACATCTACCGCACTCACCCTGGGTGGGCCACCAGTGATGAGATTGAGTTCACGCTTTCCTTTTTCATGCCGGAGTCCTTCTGCCCTCCAGTTCTACACCATGACTTGTCTGTCATTGCTGCTGGAGTCAAACCTATGTCCGACGAAGTGCAACGATTTGTCGCTCTTCGTCAAGGGCATTGGGTCGGTATTGAAGTTGTGTGCAATGCAAGGGAACACACCTGCAGAGTTGTCTTTCTACAAGTTCCTGTTCGTGACCAACAATTCTGGACTGACTTTGCTAATGATTTTGTCGTTCCCTTTGGGTTCCGACCCATCATCATTGTCGACACCACCAGGACAAGACCCGGGATGTGTGGTTGGGAGCTTCTCCATCGGTGGGTGGTTGCGGATCTCACAGTCCCAGCTGACTTTCATATACCGCAACAGAAAAGGCAGGTGGTTGATCTTATCCTTGGTGAATCAGACATTGCCTGGAGAGTTGCTGGTGCGCCACCAGCAATGTTGAGGACCTTTGCTGACAATGTGCGCCGAACCTTCCTGCTGGTTGGAGGTTTGCAGGTTATGCAAACCTGCTCTGCTGTCTCCCTTGGTGGTATGGAAGCCTTGGCCCAAACCGATGCCGCAATGCAGGCTCCTGATCCGTGGCAACTTGATGACCCGTGGAAGTCAAAGAAAAAGCAAGCCAAGCAGAGCAAGTGGGAGGACCTACAGCTGCAATCGGACCACCCCTTTGTCGCCAAAGACAAGACACCTGTGCCCTTTGTGCAGAAGCAGCAACTGTCCACCAACCGAGGTGGTATTGCCTTTGTCTCCAAAGGCAACATACAGCAGATCATGGAAGTTAAACCCAAAGAGGCGTGCGCCCTCCTATTGCCGCTCATTGATCGAACCGACTCGCTGGCCAAATTGCCCAACCTGTCTGGGCCTTTCGAAGTCATTGTCTTTGATCCTGCATTGAACCAAGAATATAAGCGACAGGTGCGTTTGCTTGTTGTCACTCCCGATGTCCACTTTTCGCTGCCGACTCCTTCCATCACTCTCACGTTGGCTGCAGTTTGTGAATTGGTCTTGGAGTGTGACGCACGGCTGACAACCAAAGACACTTTCCAGTCCTTCTATGACAACCCCTTGAGCAAATTCAAGGCAATGCTGAAAGATGTCTGTTCAGACCCTATTTGGGGGCATGCGGCCATCTATGGGTACAGAGTTGTGCAAGAGCATGCAAAGGACAAGCACGATGTGGTCCATCAATGCCTCCTCAAAGTGCAGCAGAAGCATCGCATCACCTTGTTGGCGGCCAGTGGCAACGGAGACCTCATGGTCAGGGACTTCATCCCAAAAGGAGAGCAAGTGGAGGATTTGTCCATTATTCCGCGCTTCTGGCCAATTGACCGTGCTAGCAAAGCTGACCTCATCA